CTTCTCAAAAAATATAGATTGTGTAGACAAGATGATATGGTCATGACGCAAATGCATTCACATGTGCACGCGTGCAATGCTAAAGTTTAAATGATTTTTGTACACTTCTTTGTAAATGTTGTTAAAATCTCAGATGCATAGAGTTTGTCTTATTTAATGAAGCTTACAGGGAATATGGCACCAAAAGGGAGTTGGGGAGCGTTTGGGTAGATTGGCAACCATCCTTGTTACAATTAGCACTAGTTTTCTTTTTGTTTGATTTTCCTCTGCAGTGTAAGACCATGGCTATGATCGTCAACAGTAGAACCACTGCACCAGTACCAGCAACCACCAGAATTAATATTGTCCAGTCTGAAATAAGGAAATGAAAACTAGATAATAAAATACTAACATAATACTAATAAAATACTAATGATGAAAAAATACCAAAGCGTTTTGAGCGAAAATCATGTTCAATTTAAATTATCAGGTTAATTTTTTCAAAAAAATATGTAAATAAGAAAGGCTTGTCAACATTTATGAATTTTTGAAAATACTATCAGAGGGTTGTCAATGTTAATACAGATATCTATACCAATGTGTCAAAACTCCTGATGATACAATTGACACAGGTAGAGTTTTAATCGGCGTTCTGTTATTTTTTACTGTTTAAATACTTGTGTGGATTTTTTTCTTGTACTTTTGGATTATAGTGCAGTATATATACTGTATATTCCATGTAATATATGTTTAAATATTGCCTAAAGTAATAACAATATTACATTTGATATAATATTCTAAGGTAGTTTTAATGCTTGATAAAATTATGCGGAATATGGTTTGGTGTGTGCATTTTTATTTTTTCTAAAATTAACGCATGACATTTCAAATCTAAAATTACAATGTTGTTCGTTGTTATGTCCTATATACAATCATTTTTTTATTAAACTATATATCATTATGTTTTTAAAACTACTAATTCTTATGTTAAAATTATGCGGAATATGGTTTGGTGTGTGCATTTTTCTTTTTTCTAAAATTAACGCATGACATTTCAAATCTAAAATTACAATGTTGTTCATTGTTAAGTCCTATATACAATCATTTTTTTATTAAACTATATATCATTATGTTTTTAAAACTACTAATTCTTATGTAAGTCGTTTTGTTTTCGGCTAAGTATAGGATTTTAGCCTGTAACTTAGCATCTGTAAAATATAGGTCTACCTCATGCAAGAAATATATGTTCTTTATTATCATGCTTGTCAACTTTTATGTGATAAAAGTTCCCGAATCTGATAAAGGATAATTTAATATGATTAAATATTTCCTGTTCTTTTACCCGTTTCTTCATCTTTTGAAATTATACTACAGTAAAAAGAAATTAAGATGTTTTCATTACTTAGGTAAATATTTCCTTAAATTTTTTTTTGTGATGCTGTAATTATATATGAGTATATATTAATCATAAGGACGTAATTCTTACCGTAAAGAACTTGAAATTTATTTACTCATATTTTTAACATGTAATTGTTATCTATTTAATATCATTTTTTTAATACGAATCATTTAGTTCCCTTTCACAACTGTAAAAATGACTTTATAATATAAATCCTTTCTTAATTAAGTGTTCTTACCGACAGACAGGTCCTTGCTGTTCTTCAACACATTGTGATCCAGTTCTACAAGGATTGATTGCCTTCAGAATCTGGCATCCGGTAGAAGAATTGGTGAAGATCACTAAAATTAATCACAACGTTTCACAATAAAAAAGGGACGGGTTATACTCAGCAGGCGTAAATTTACAACAACAAAAAAATAATGAAGTTAATTTTGATTGTACATAAGTACCTTACAAATTTGAAAATGTTATTAGGATAATATTCCATAACTCTAAAAGTATTAATATGTAGTGATACACATATTAATATCAATGACAATGTATCAATACCGATTTGCCCTGAGGAGTCGACAAATAAAAGAGATGACACTGGTGCATAATGTCCGTCGTACGTTACATTTTCTTTACCAGAAAGCAGATCTTTGTTAATGGATACCAAATTTGATGGTGCAGATGAATCGCTCGTTGTGTAGACATCATAGTTAACAACTAAGCTACCTTTCCTTAAAGAACAGATATATAAACTTACAGTAACATTTTGTAACATGTATAGATGAATGTGTGTAATAATACCTCGTCAAAATGTATCGTACAAAGCAATGGCTTTTGCACAGGATAATTTCGATTGGCATTTGAATGCTTCAAAAGTTTTATGAATAAAAATTATTAAGATTGAAATTTGTTCATATGTTTTTCTGATATTGGTTCCCAAATGGCTTGGTCTCTATTTAATTCTTCAGCATTAGTTAATCAATGTTTGACTATACATAACAAGCCACATACCGTAATCCGGTAACATTACAGCTTTTCAATCCATTACCAAGTCCCTTTCTGTAAAGAGTCGTCAACTAAAGAAGATGAAAGGCAATTAATTCTTTTATTTTTAAATTTTCTGTCTGTTAAAAACAAGTAAACATAGAAATTAATCTTAATCCAACTGAAAAAAGAAAAAGGTTAATGAAAGAAAAAATCAGATTGTCTGAGGATGCATTCACATTTACTTCTAACCTTCTGACATACTTAAATACAGTAGCACAAGACCTTTATAATTATTTCCGTAATTAAATTAAATTGAATTTTTTACGGTAGAAAATCTCTGCTTCATGAAAGGCAACCTAATTTATCTCGTTCTCTATCAGCATCTCCTTCAAACAATGATTTTTTTTAGACATTTTAGTTTTAATGCCCGCAGACATTCCAAAGAATACTGTAATATTTACCGTAATTATGTTCCCTAAACGAAGTTGGGGAACATATTGTTTTTACTCTGTTTCTTATTATGTTCCCCAAACGGAGTTTGGGAACATATTGTTTTTACTCGGTTTCTGCATTATGTTCCCCAAACGAAGTTGGGGAACATATTGGTTTTACTCTGTTTCTTATTATTAGTATTATTATTATTATGTTCCCCAAACGAAGTTGGGGAACATATTGTTTTTACTCTGTTTCTTATTAAGGTCTTCCGTCTTCAGCGGAAGACCTTCTTGTTATTCTTAGGTTTCTTTTTCACTTTTATTATTAAGGTCTTCCGTCTTCAGCGGAAGACCTTCTTGTTATTCTTAGGTTTCTTTTTCACTTTTATTATTAGGGTCTTCCGTCTTCAGCGGAAGACCCTTCTATTATTCTTTAGTTTCTTTTTTACCTTTATTATTATTATTATTAGGGTCTTCCGTCTTCAGCGGAAGACCCTTCTATTATTCTTTTGTTTCTTTTTCAATTTTCTTATTATTATTATTATTATTATTATTCTTTTTTTCTGCACAAATTTTGTGCCGACGATTCCTCAGAGATTTTTCGATCGATTTGTTTCAAATTTTCAGGGTTGGTGCACAATTATCTGAAGTTAATTCCGGCCGAAGGATTTTTTGAAAATCACTTCCGGTCTAGAGTTATCGCCCTTTTCTTAAAATTCAGATGACCTCCGTGTCTGTGACAGAACTCAATAAGGGCTCAAGCTAGAGCGCTGAAATTTTCAGTGATAATAGAGGACATGTTGCCATGTTGCACCTGGGTCAGGAAATTTTCCGGAAGTTTCTAGTATGGAAGCTCGGTAGGGGTCAAAATTTAGGACACGAATCATGACTGATTTTTTAAGACATTTTGCTTCATATCTTTTAAAGTATAATTATTTTGTTAAAACATACTGAACATCATTTGTGCAAAACATCGAGATCTTTCATATTATACCAAGAAAAAAGCGCTGACTCATCACATTAAGGACAAAAAGGGGCCAAAAGTCTTTAATCGATAACTCTTTAACAATCAATATTTTGGTATATATTACTGAACAAAAAATGTTGAGCTTAACAATCTACAACCATATATTATGATATTCATATCATGTGGTACATAATTAGGGGCCACAAGGGGCCAGAATGCTAAATCTTTGATGCTTTATATCTCGAAAGGGAGAAATATTTTGATAAGCAATATTGAACGAAATATGTTCAAAATAATGTTCCTAACAATATGCAACCTTTCATTTTTTGCTAAACGTCCCCATTAAGGAGTTGAAGGGATGGCCCCTAAAAATTTCTTTTGCTAATAGCTCAAAAACGAATAAGAATTTCTGAACAATTATTGAACACAAAATGTTCAAAATCATAAGACCTTCAAGATGAGATCCCGAAATAGGGGCTGGGCACTCGAATTAGGGGCCAAGAGGGGCCAAAAGTCTTCAATCAATAACTCTTTATCAGTTAATATTTTGTAATACATTACTGAAGCAAAGATCTTTATCTCAACCATCTCCAACTATATATTATGATTTTCATGTCGTATGGTACATAATTAGGGGCTATAAGGGGCCAGAATGCTAAATCTTTGATGCTTTATATCTCGAAAGGGAGAAATATTTTGATAAGCAATATTGAACGAAATATGTTCAAAATAATGTTCTAAACAATATGCAACCTTTCATTTTTTGCTAAACATCATTAAGGAGTTGAAGGGATGGCCCCTAAAAATTTCTTTTGCTAATAGCTCAAAAACGAATTAGAATTTCTGAACAATTATTGAACACAAAATGTTCAAAATCTTAAGACCTTCAAGATGAGATCCCGAAATAGGGGCTGGGCACTCGAATTAGGGGCCAAGAGGGGCCAAAAGTCTTTTTTCAATAACTCTTTATCAGTTAATATTTTGTAATACATTTCTGAAGCAAAGATGTTTATCTCAACCATTTCCAACTATATATTATGATTTTCATGTCGTATGGTACATAATTAGGGGCCACAAGGGGCCAGAATGCTAAATCTTTGATGCTTTATATCTCGAAAGGGAGAAATATTTTGATAAGCAATATTGAACAAAAGATGTTCAAAATCATGTTCTGAACAATATGCAACCTTTCATTTTTTGCTAAGCGTCCCCATTAAGGAGTTCAAGTGTTGGCCCCTAAATATTTCTTTTGCTTATAATTCAAAAATGGAAAAGAATTTCTAAATAGTAATTGAACACAAAATGTTCAAAATCTTAAGACCTTCAAGATGAGATCCCGAAAAAGGGGCTGGGCACTGGAATTAGGGGCCAAGACGGGCCAAATGTCTTTTTTCAATAACTCTTTATCAGTTAATATTTAGTAATACATTACTGAAGCAAAGATCTTTATCTCAACCATCTTCAACTATAAAATATGTTTTTTATGTCGTATGGTACATAATTAGTGGCTATAAGGGGCCAGAATGCTTAATCTTTAATGCTTTATATCTCAAAGGGGAATATTTTGATAAGCAATAAAGATTTTCAAAATAATGTTCTGAACAATATGCAACCTTTCATTTTTTTGCATAACGTCCCCATTGAGGAGTTGAAGGGTTGCCCCTTAAATATTTCTTTTGCTAAAATCTCAAAAACGAAAAGGAATTTATGAATAGTTGTTGAACAAAAAATCTTCAAAATCTTAAGAGCTTTAAGATGATATGAAAAAAGAGGG